GGCGCTTATGTTAAGGTCATATGGAGGTCAGATAGGGGTAATATGGAGTTCTAGTCCATATACTGTGACCGGTCCCGTATACATTTTTAGGTCCATTGAATTTTATCATTGGACTGTATGTTTTTGAGGTCCGTGAACACAAACGTGTTGACCATTTTTACGCGGTGTGGTCTGTTTTGTTTATTTATAACAATTTAATTGTTCATAACGCGATTTCGCGAAAGCGGTTGGAGTTAGGCGAAAAAGTTTCAAAGAAAAAATGTTCCTCGTCTAAAACTACATACATTTTATTTTTTCATTTTTATTCCTATCTCTCATAGTTATCGAGTTTTCACCTTTGAAAGCATGTCGCGGAGGGCTGAAGGGCGCGCCCGTAATCCTTCATATATTTTGCTCAGGTTACAATTGAACCGGTTGGGAATAAACGAAAATAGTTGAAATAAAAAATGTTCCTTATTAAACATTACATAATTTCCTAACTTTAACGGTTAACAAAATAATTTGATGGAAATGAGGAAAAACATCCCCACTTGCCATCCAACGTGATATGAAATCCAAGTTATCTCGGTCAATTTTTCGATTTGCCAATTTTGAAGGGACGCATCTTCTAGACCGTTTTTTGATGAATAATTTTAATTATCAACTTTTTTCTTTTTTCCGATTATTTACGACAATATTTGAAGGAAAAGACGAACGAGCACTGCCTCAAATGTCGCTAACAACATCACCCGCAATGTCCGATATATAACACTTACAGGTCCATTGAATTTGATCATTGGACTTCATGCTTTTTGGGTCCTTGAAAACAAATATGTAAACCAGTTTTGCGAAGCGTGGTTAGTATTGTTTATGTATAATAATAATTTAATTATAATAATTATAATAATTCAATTGGTTATAACGCGACTTCGCGGAAGCTGTCCGAGTTGGACAAAAAAATTTTAATCAAAAAATGTTCCTCGTCTGAAAATACATGTATTTTGCCTTATTAGTTTTATTCCTATCTTTTATATAGTATACTCTTACAGACTATAAGAGATAGGAATGAAAATAATAAGACAAAATACATGTATTTTTAGACAAGAACCATTCTTTGTTAACTTCACGACCCGAAGGGAGGAAGTTATTGTAATGACCCCGAAAATGAAATGTTGAATTTCGATGATTCGTCCACGTTTCGTGACCTCTAGAGTCATCCTGAAACGTTTCTGAAGAAATGTATGTGTGTGTGTGTGTGTGTGTTGTCTAATTTTTTTTTATTTTTTTTTATTTCTATTTTTTTTTATAGAGGTTTAGGAAAATCTTCAAAAGATTCTGGTAAAGTGATGTTAAAAACCAGATCTGGGATTTTTACCCAGTAAAAACCCTGTTTTCCTCTTTTTTACCTCTAATCATTCGTTCTCATTTCCCTCGCGGCACCACCGTGAAGTATTACTTTGCGAGGGGGGTTCTCAGCTGTTTGCTCTTCCACTCTTTCCATCCAATGTACATCCCCCTAACCTGCTAAGATGTTATGTGTGATGAGGATGTTCCAAATAGATTTCTCACCTATACTGCAAAGTTGCGCGTGCGTTCCTCGTTTCTGAGTTCCTTAATGACTTCCGCCGCAAAGTTGCTCGTTGCGTCCCAGGCTGTCTGTGATGACAACATTGCTTCTACTAGATTCTCGGGCGAGACTTTTCCTCCCAGTTCAGTTTGCCAACTATCCCGGATGTCACTGAAACGGGGGCATGTGAACAACACGTGCTCCGCGTTCTCGTCCACTTCTGCGCAGGAGGGACACTTCGGGGAATGTTCATGTTTGAATTTATGAAGATATGCCCGGAAGCACCCATGTCCTGAAAGCATTTGACAAAGATAGTAGTTTATCTCTCCATGGTCTCGACTTACCCAGGCAGCCACTTGCGGGATCAGGCGATAGGTCCATCTCCCCTTGGTCGAATCGGACCATTTCTGCTGCCATCGGCTCAAGCTGTTTCGTCTCTCTTGGATTTTCAGTTCTTCGGGATTCAACGCTTCTGTTCTCCATAACCATATGTAAGCACTGACGTCACCACTGAAGACAGCAGCGCTCGTCTCAGTTGCTTAGGACCTCCGATATTGGGCATGAGGCGTGCTACGGTGGATCTGACTCCAGATGCCTTGGTATCCACATGCTCCGCTTGCTGCTTGAACTTGAGTCGGGCATCGATCATTACTCCAAGATACCGAATAAACGGCTGAGATGTGATTTGGTAGTCACCGAATTGCAGTGTGATACTCTCCGATTTCTTCCTACTAGTAATGAGCACCGCTTCCGTTTTATGCTCCGCGAGTTGCAATCCAACTAAATCCATCCACTGACGTATTCTCCCGAATGTCGTATCGAAGATGAAGTTGATTTCCTCCAGGTGCTTCGCCACAATCACCACGGCCACATCATCCGTAAATGCCACGAGTCTCACTTCAGTTGGCAATGCTACCTTCAGCAATCCATCATACATGATGTTCCACAAGAGAGGGCCCAGCACCGAGCCCTGTGGTACCCCTCCGGTGACTTGGTACTCTTTAGGGCCGCTCTCTGTGCCGTACTTGAGAACTCTGTCGGTGAGGTAGCTAGCTACCATCTTTCGCAGATACCCTGGGACGATCATCCTTTCGAGAGCTTCCATAATGCAGTCCCACCTGGCTGAAGTGAAGGCGTTCTTGATATCTAGCGTCGCCACCAGGCAGTATTTTTCGTACCTTCTCTCCATCTTCTCCCAGAGGTCGCCTCCTTGGCGTTGTTGACGACGAGGTCAATGGCATCGATGCTAGAGCGACCTCTTCGGAGGCCATATTGCTTATCAGCTAGCAGCGGTTCTACTGCTGCTTCTATCCTTCTGTAGATGATGCGCTGGAGGATTTTCCCAGCTGTATCTAGCATGCAGAGTGGGCGATATGATGATGGCTAGTCCGGTGGCTTCTTCCCTTTGGGGAGGAGCACTAGTCTCTGCTGCTTCCACTTGGCGGGAAAGGTGCCTTCCTCCAGGCATGCATTGTATACGTCCAGAAACAGTCCTCGTGCTGCATTGATCGCTGCTTTTAATGCAATATTGGGGATTCCATCGAGGCCAGGAGCCTTGGTGTTTCCCACCCTGTCGCAAGCTTCCTTAATTTGTTCCTCTGTAATTGGTGGAATCGATGTCTCCATGCTGTGCTCCGTGGACTGGCGGAGTTCCGGTTGTTGGGGGAACAACGCCATTACAATCTTCTCCAGGAGCTCGGGGCATGACGGAGATGGCATAAGCTGGCTTTTTAGCCGCGTCATAACCACCTTGTATGGTCTTCTCCACGGATCACTCTCGACTTCGTCGAGGAGTCCAATCCAGCCTTGCTTCTTGCTCTCCTTGATAGCTTTGGTAAGCTTTCGGCGTGCGTCCTTAAATTTCCTCTCCAGTTCTTCGGAGTTTGGTTTTTTCCGACCACGCTGAGCCGACCTTCTAGCCTTCTCTCGAAGAGCGGCCATGTGATCGTTCCACCAGTGCACAGGTGGAAGACGGCCTCCACTGCCTTTACGAGGCATTGAGGCATCATAGGCCTCGCTAACTCTTCTCATAAAATACTCGGCTTTCGCCGTAACACTGCTGCCACTTATAGGGTGATCATCTAGTACCACTAAGAATGTGCTAGGATCGAAGGTGCTCACCTTCCGGCCGATTTCGTTTGTCTTCTTAGGCGTTGGTCTGATTCTTCGACCAGCGGATACCTTCCAAAGGATTGCTCGGTGATCGCTAGTGGTTTAGATATCCATCACCTTCCAGGAGCAGTTTCCTCTTGCGAGATTACTGCTAAAAACGTGAGGTCTACTATTGAGCTCTTGGCTCCTCTTTCGAATGTGGGTCCATCACCGTTGTTCAGCAGGACAATGTCTAGTGAAGACATAGCCTCCAATAGTGCTTGCCCCCTTTCTTTGGTCTCGTTACGACCCCAGTCGACTGCCCAGGCGTTGAAGTCCCCCGCGATTGCAATAGGGAAGTGCTGCTTCGTGTCCTCAGTTAGTCTGTGCAGGAAGTCCGTGAATCCGTCAAGGGTGAGGCTTGGTGGAGCATAACAGCTGTAGAAATAAATTCCATCCAGCTTAGCTACCACAAAGCCAGCCTCATCTGTAGTCGCAGCACTTTGGAACGGGTACTTTCCGCAAGACCAAATGACCGCCTTACGACTCTTGTCCGTCTCCCAGGGCTGAGTGCCCAGATGTCTGTATGGCTCCGAGATGATCGCCAGATCAATTTTCAGCTCGCGCACTGTCTGCATAAGGAGATCGTGTGCAGCCTGACACTGGTTGAGGTTGAGCTGCAGTATCCGCATTATCGTTTCCTGTTCACCTGCTGGTGTGCCTCCTTGAAGACAGGGCATCTGCTGCTACCAGCAGTATGAGCACAGTCCTTCAATGGATCTCTCTCAGTACATAAGAAACAGCGGGCCTCTTTTCCACAGGTAGCAGCTTTGTGTCCCTCTTCGTCACACTTTGTACAGAGCTTCGCTCTCTCCACTTGGCTCTTGCATTTTATGGCGAGATGTCCATAGTGCCAACACTTAAAGCACTTGGTCACTGTCTCCACCCTTCGGATTCGGGAGTTCACCCATTCTATACGAATCCTACCGCGATCGCCTAGGACTTTCTTCGCTACCGCTGCAGCCACCGTCACTGATGCCGTCTGGGTACCTGCGTAGGCCTTGCGCAAAGATCTGATGGCCTCCGGGGCAATTTGGCAATCTGCTCCCGCGGTGAGTTTGAGGGCCTCCAGCACCTCCTCCTTCGTCGTCAGTTCATCGAGGTCTTTGATCTCAAGCTCTTCCTGTGGCCCTTTACTGAGGACATCGGCCTCTTCTCCAAGGAGTTCGACTATCGCCTTGTATGAGCGGCCAGCTTCATCCTCCTTATCCTTTGATAGGATGATCAGCATATCTCCCGTGGTCGTTCTGCGGATTTTGTCGACGCAGTCACAAGCCTGGTCGGGGAGTATCTGCTGCTTCACTCATTTGAGCACCTGCGAGTACTGCTGCTTGTCCTTCGGGTGTACAATCAAAGCGTTGGGCCTCATGACTGCTGCCCACTGCTTCTTTTTCTCCTTTTCCTTGCGCTTTTCTGGCGGCTGCGTTTTCTGCCTCTTCTTCTTCGGCTTGACCTGCTCCCACTTCGATGAATTTGCAAGTCCGTCCTCCTTCTTGTTCGGGGCATGAGCGGCCTTCATCTCATCTTCCTTCTTCTTGAGGTCCCTAGTATCCGTTGGTGGTGAATCTCGAGACTTCCTCTTCATCTTGGAAGACTTGTTATCAGAGAGCAGAGCTGTTTCCCTCCAACTCCGAGTCCATCGAGGTCGCGGTGCCTTCAGTGAGCGTTCGCGTCTGGCCTACAGGAAAAGATGCCGTTGTTACCGGCAATCGCCTCACCTGCCCAGCATGTCCTCTTAGTTGCCTGAGCCGTTTGGCAGAGGTACTGATAGAGTTTACCCTCTCTCGACAATGAGCGTTGATGCTCCTCTTCTCCTTCATGTAAGTGATCAGATCGGCTATGAGCTGTTCATGCCTATCCCACATCTTCTTCAATGTGACCTCGTCACTTGGCCCAGTTTTTTGAGCCACGTTGTCCTGCTGTTTATCTTCATTTTGTGTGTTTACTTTAATATCCATCATGTTCCCACGAGTACCTAGGGAAGTATAACAGTCCACTCCAGATAGAGTCCCGGGTGTAGGAGTAAGGCCACTTAATACCCCTGGGGTGGGACCTGGTGCCCCAGGGACCACCGTTTGCGACGCCAACTACCCCTGGCGCCTTCCAGAACTCAGCACGGTGAACACCTTGACATTGGGGGGAGGCTGCTGTAGGGAGCCCACCCTGCACGCCTCTTTTGGAGTTGGGCTTCTCTCCCAAGATGTCCTGAGAAGGACAGACCTCGGTTTGAACTGCTTCTTGGTTTGGGTACATTTCTTAAGCCCCTCCATCGTCGACAAGGTCCTGCAGTTCGTAGGAGGGGAGTGTGTGTATGTGTGTGTGTATGTGTGTATGTGCGTGCGTAGCATCGTATGTGAGTGAAATTTCATCCAACGATTTCTCCGGAACGAACGAACCGATTCAACTTTTTTTTTTTATCGAATGTGTCTTCATGTAACTTAGAACTGATTAGATTATGGAAATAATGCCTCAGCGGTTTTCCAGTTATCTGCATAAAACATATGAGAAAATGTCAACGTTACTTTTACTGAAATTCGTCGATTTCACCTGAAATAACGATGGAATTTGAATCAATTTCGTGTAATCGCTGCGTCATCATGTATCTTGAGTGTAATTGGATTTTGAGCGAAGTCTCCTCAGTGGTTTTTTAGTTATTTCAATAAAACTTTCGAATTTTGCAATTTGAAAAAAAAGGAAAATTGGAGAAAAGGTGGAATCTTGGAGTGAGTCAACTTCGAAGTAGAAAACTTTTCAATTAGATGAACTTTGAAGTTGAGAAAATTTTGAAGTGGGTTCAACTTTTTTATGAAAACAATTGACTCAGCGGTTTTTTATTTATCCGCATAAAACTTGTAAAAAAATACCAAAAAGCGTTAATTTCATAGAAATTCGACCATTTTACCTAAGATAACAATGGGATTTGAATTAATTTTGTGTAATGGATGCCTCTTTACATAACTTGATTATCATTGGATTTTGAGCGAAATCGCCTCAGTGGTTGTCGAGTTTTTTAAATAAAACTTTCGAATTTTGCAATTAAAAAAAAGGGAAAGTTGGAAAATTTTAGAGTGGGTTAACTTCGAAGTTGCAAAGTTTTGAAATGGGACAACTTTGAAGTTGCAAATTTTTAAGTGGATCAGCTTCGGAGTTGAGACAATTTTTAAGTGGGTCAAGTAAAGTGGGTTTAACTCAAACTTGATTGAAGTGTGAGTTAACTTAAATTGCAAATGCGTTCCTTACGAAATCACCCTAAGTGTAATGCCACAATGGATGCAACGCTAAATGCATGCAACGCATGCAATAATTATCTAAATGTTTTCCGAATATTTCTGACATTGACTAGCGTTGCGTATAGCGTGCGCTGCATTCACTGTGGCATGACCCCAGCGTTTATTAAATGTCCGAAGAAACTTTCCTTCTATGGGTATTTCCTCGGAGAAATGTGAGAAAAAGATTGAATAAATACATAATAAAAAAATTAATGCTAAAATTCTGCACAATAACGAAGTGCTCTCGTGGTTAACATGTGATATAATTAAATCTCTCGATCATCTGGCTACAATCATCGAATTGCTGAATAGATTACGATTTTAATCCAGTTATTCCGACTGGTGGAATTGTCTAGTTTTTACAACGCAATGTGTGGAATAAATAAAGATTTTTTAAATGGAGGAAATGGATATACCCTCGGAGCGACACTAACACAATTGTATGGAGTACGTACATGAGCCTGAGCTCTCCGTAGATGAAGCGCCATCTTTCACAGCATGGAAACTATTTCGAGGAATCACGTTCGATCGCATATACTGGAGAATTCTCCATTACAGTTCAGCCTCCTGGTAGAGACCAGGATTCTTCATGATTTTAGTCAATCCTTTTTGGTCGAGGTAATGAAAGTTGTTACGTACCGAGCTGGTTCCCAGAAATGTAGATGGCAGGTCCGTTGCCCGTGGAGTGCTGAACCACTCTGCTTACAAGTGCGGGAATTTGGATAGGTAGTTTTTAAATAAATTGTATCACACAATTATTTAGGTGGACACTGAATATCGATCATATTATTTGTTTGATATATTTGGTTTTGTTTTGTGACGGAATTTTAGAAATTCCGCCACCTGTACGAGAGTTCGCCCCAGAATTGGAAAAATGCGGAGAGAGAGAGAGAGAGAGAGAGAGAGAGAG